CACCTAAGAGGGGAAATTCCCCCCATTCAAAAATGAAATTCAGGTCCTGAATAAATGTCTAAAAATCCTGATTGGAGTATCACTATAAATGGTTATAAATGATAAAAAGAAGGCTTTAAAAATATCGGTATCGGCAGATACTGCTTTCTGTGATCGGCCTCAAAAATCCTGATCGGAGCACCCCTAAACTTGAGTCCTCGCTTCTTCCACTCACCCGCCCCGTGACAAGTATAGCCTTTAAAATATAAAGCTCTTCTATCTGTCCAACACGGTTACGTTTTTAAAAGTAGGCCTAAGTCAAGAAATGCAAGAAAAACCAACTTTGTTCGATGTCAAGCAATTTAGGAGAGAGTTGTGGTGAGACCAGGGTCTAACTAAATATAACATTTTGATTCAAATCCAATTACACTAATTTGTTTTCTATGTTGGTTAAACCAGTGTTTCCCAACCGGGGTGGCGTGTAAAAAAATCATTTTTTTATATTTTTAAATTGCTAAAATGTTCAAAAAAGCATCTATTATATAATATCCATTTCTGATGTCGCCAATAATTAGAGATGCACCGAAATTTCGGCTGCTGAAAATTAGTTTACCGCTCAGGTTTCACTTTCACGTGGTGTGACGCTCTGCGTATTATCCCGCTCTATGCGTGTGCGCTCCGCTCAGTCGCTCCACTCGTATACCGTGCAATCAGTAGGCTAATTTCTAATGAAGAGACCAATTTATATGACAGATTTTAATGTAGGCTTTTATTCATATGTAAACATTGTGAGAAAGCTAGTTATAATGGTAATTAAATAATGTTTACATATGTATAAAAGCCTACATAAAAATCTGTCATATAAATTGGTCTCTTCAATAGAAATTAGTCTACTGATTGCCACCATTGATGGACAAATTTTTGTAATAATATTAAAAATATCTGTATGACATTATATCTGCAGTTCCTCCCTGTTGTACCGAATATCTATACTTTTCAAATTATCACATCGAAGTTAGAAATGCAAATATTGTGACAAAATTAATTTTGTAGGGTGCCACAAGTTTGTTAAAATTTCCAAAGGGTGCCGCGACTAAAAAAAGGTTGGGAAACACTGGGTTAAACAACCAATTCAGATATTTCTTATCCTTTTTTTTGAGTAAAATTTGTGAAACTAGCCCTAGTCTATGGACGTAAAGTGAACAAACACACACACACGTTTGTTTCTGTGAATTGTAGGGACTTTCCATAGACTTCTATTACTTTTATACTGACCAAACGATTTTCTATCCCCTAACCCAAGCCTAACCCTAAACCTACTCCTTACAGAAAACCTGTTTGCATTGTTACACTTTCAGACAAACATAATTTACTATTTTAAAAAAAATGTTGTCCCTTGTGGGGACCGCAGGCCTGTCCCCACAATGTCAAAAAATTCAGGTTTTACTATCTTTGGGGACATTTGGTCCCCACAATGTAGCATAAACAAGTGTATACACGCACACACACAAAGAAAAAAAAGTTTTAATTTCAGCTTAACTTACCCAAAAGTGGTGACGTCTCAGGACATGATTCTAGTACTGTGGGTTCCTCTTCTACGTCATCTTTAATGACACTTCCATTAGAATAGATCAGTTTATTTACTTCTACCTCTGTTCCATTGTCATACTGGATGACCAGTGCTGCTGTTCTATGAGTTTGAGAAGTAAATATATCGGAGTCTAATTGAATTTTCCGGTAATTGGTCAATTTTGTGGGCGACTCTGTTAAATAAAAAAACAGTGCAACGATGAGGTGAACCCCGCAGAGACACACGAGCACGACGCAGGATTTAGTGAAGAAACCCACATTGAGCAGCACCGACTCCTGCATTCTCACAAAACTACGGGAGACCACTTCATTTGCGAAGAACAAAACTCTGTAAGAACAGAAACACCTGTGCCTCGTCGTTCATCAGATGATGACCAGGATAATCCTTTTCCTGAAACTTTTTATGATATTGATCGCGTCTGGCCACTGTAAATCGCTGTTTTCTCGGCATTGGTGAAGAGAAGTCTTGAGGAGCGCAGGTCCACTGGAGTGACAGCAGTGGGCGTTTCTTGCTCACTTTTAACAGTGGTAGAAAAGGCTACGACCTATATATTATAAGGCTGATAATGCAACAAAACAAACAAACAAACCAACCAAAAACGTCTTTAAAAATGAAAAAAGGTGAAATTTATAGAGTTAGGCCTATTCTAAATGGTTAATCTATAACACACACACAACATCTGCATATAATTTACCAAACATATAAGGCTTTACAAATCGCTCACGTGTATTTGGAAATACAGTGGCCCGAGAAAGAATTTGAACAATTAAGGCACACTTTAAAATGTATGCATTTTGTTGCATTAGCAAAAAAAATGATCAAACCAAGTGGCATCCGCAAACAGACAATTTCTCAAAACTAACTTTTCTTAGAAGTGCCTTCAAGTTCACACAGGTGTAGTTATTACATAGGCTACATGGAAATACACTGAAACATTCACTAACGTTTGACAACCTGAAAATGGTAATATGTTAATGAGCTTGTCATTTTCTTATACAATGCAATAACACTCATATACTGTTTTTAAGTATTCACGTGTCTTTTGGCTTGACATTTTGAAGTCACTGTATGAAAATATGCGAATCAATTAGACATGACATAGGCTACTGTATCTTGTACCGTAAATTATTGGGTCCCCAATAAAACGGGCTTCTTTCAGAAACTGATCATATTTCCTCTGTTAGTTCAAAAAATTCCCAAGATATTTTTGAAGGTACAGATTTTACATAAGATATCTTATATGACAGGTACTTAAATAGTCTGTTGGAAATAATTGTCATCATGCAACAGTCATTAAAGTCAGTGATTGATTACTGATGAGCTCTTCTTTTCTCATCAACAGCGCCCCCATGTGTTGGTTTGCGTGATCAACAGCACATCCTGCTATAACATGATTCTCGCTGTTCCCTGGTGGAATGAATGAATGATCTGCCCAACTCAATCCGAGAAGAGGAAAACAAAGCCAAACACTGGGTATTTTATGCAATTTAGAAGTCCCTGCCAAGACTTGTCCAGGAAAAATTTTGTGTTATGAAAGATAATAACAAATTTGATTGTGATTTCTCTGATCATGATTTTTTAGATCATTCTTAATGACATAAATCTTTTTTTTTTTTTTTGAAAGTTGCTCAGGATAACAGAGGTGAGCACTGTGTTTGAATTCAGAGTGGGTAGGCCTACATTTCAGCAGTGCTGTAACACAAACAGAGAAATGGTGAGATCTAAATCATCTGCTCTAGTTCAACAGCAAGTCTTATCTATGTTTGGACTACTATTACACAGTAACAGTACAGTCAATAAAACGCAGTGGCACATCTCTCTTAGAGAGAGTTACACTAGTGTGTGGCCTGGGTCAAAGGTCATCCAGTCATGTGACTAGATATCTATATCCTGATTCATGAAGTGAAAGCTTTACTTCATAACTTAGTACATTGGGACTAGAGTTTGTTATGAAGGAGAGCAACTTTATGGTCTAAATAATCTTTGCCTATAAGCGACTGAGGAGAAGAGTATCGCTCCTGTACTCCACCAGCAGAACGGCAGTCTTCGGAAATTTCAGAAATCATGTGAGTTACTTCTGCTTTTGAAACACTTTTTAGAGTGACAGACAGAGAATATTTGACAGTATAATTGATATTCTGCATTCTGTGCACTTTTTTTATTTAAATAAAGCATGTACATTTTACATGTACTGTTTAGATACTGTTAATTCTGAGATAAATCTTCACTAGTTTTATATTTAGATTTAAAATAACATATTTTAACATATTTATATAAAAATAAGTAAATATATATTTTAAACAAAATTAAAAGTGGGTTAGTGTATGTTCATACTTACAAAGACATTATATAGATATTGTTCAAATGTATTTAAAATGAATTGATCATTCATACTATTAAAAACTAACACAAATAGAAAAAATGGATTTTTAGTGCAAACAAGGGACCTAGAATTCAAACCAAAAAAAAAAAGTTGGGGCAATTTTTCTGTTGATAAGGGGAAGTGTTCACACTGGTGTGTGATAAATCTTATCTGTTAATATGCAGATAAAATATGTTTTTAGGGCACAACGTCTTATATAATAATAATATAAATTATGATAATTACCCTAAAAAAATAATGCTTACTTTGATTAGTACGTGGGTCAGTTTGATCACAATTTTACAGAATTTAATCACTGAAGCTGTTTTCATTCAGCTTCTATTTTTCATTCATGCTGTGTTCTAACCCCTCGCTCATTCTTTCTCATTTTGCTCTCTCTCCCTCTTTCTCTTAGGGAGGAATGTCAGAATGGAATGTCAGTGGATTTGTTCCTGCATTGCTCTCTTGTTCCTGCTGTGAGTGCTGCCTGCATTTGTCCAGACAAAACTCTCTCCCCTCAAGACAAACATGCAACACTTTTTCTAGAACAGGAAGTGATGCTTCACTGTTAGATAAGAACTGACATGATTACATGAATTTTAGATTATATTTCTATACTTACTAGTTGGTGTCAACTGGTGTATCATCTTGTATATCACCTTGTGTTTCATGGTGTATTAGAATCGTTAGACATCTATCATTTGTGCATTTGTAATATAGTTGTATTCCTTTGTTTTTCAGGTCTGCATTGTGTTTCTGCTCTCATTTGTACAGCGTAGAGTGAGGGCTCAGCCCTTTGAGGATCGCTTCCCATATCTCAGGGGTCGATTTGGCATTGTGGTGTGAGTGATATTTGAACAAAATCTGTAGATCTAAGTTTAATATACATGTTTTTAGATGTCTAAGTGCTTTTTTAAGTTTTGAGTGTGTGTGTGTGTGTGTATTTCTTTGCAGGCCGTTGGATTTCATTTGCAGTCTAAGTAACCGATGGTCTTATGGTTTTGCATTTGGTGCTATTGCTCCCAGTGTGATTCAGCTTTTCTCTGAGTCCTACGCACCATTTACTGTGCCTAATTGGGCTAAAGGTAGTTTAAATATAACAATGCATATGTCATATGATAATAAGAAGAAATGTTTCGTGAGCATCGCTAAAAAATGCAAATGTGTTTGTCTGTTTGTAGTTGACCCTAGCAGACTACAGCTTGAGTGACTACACTTTTGACAAGCTAGATGCTTTGATAGACTCACTTGCAGAGATTGCATTGTCCTGTAATGAAACAAGCAATATGTTCACATCACTCATTCCAAGGATGAACGAGTTCAGCTTTGTTGCAAGAAGTAAGATATAAGATCCACCTCTTTTTCTTCTTGTCTTTTTGTTTCTGTCTTTGCACATATTTTATACTACCGTTCAAAAGTTTGGGGTCAGTGCCTTTTTTTTTTTAATTAATAGTTTTTTTCCAGAAAGGATGCATTAAATTGATCAAAAGTGACAGTATATATTTCAAATGTTGAATTATTGAATTATAATAATATTTGACAATATCACTGTTTTTACCGTATATTTGATCAAATAAATGCAGCCTTGGTAAGCCTAAGAGGCTTCTTCAAAAACATTTTAAAAAAAAAATCTTACAGACCCCAACATTTGAAATGTAGTTAGTAATAGATAAATGCATAGACAGACAGAAAGATACATCTGATGCACAGTAAATTATTTACAGAATATTTTCTTTTTCTCAGGGTCTTGGTTGGCGACGACTATTTTTTCCACTCTAACATCTGTTACTTACACTTTTCACGTGCTAGTATGTTACAGGTATGTTTATTTAAGCATTCTTTATGTACAAAATTCAACAATTAAGCACTTTCAGTAATTATCCAAAGGTAGTGTAACGAGGCGAACGAGACGTGCAGATCCATTTGCAAGGCTTTATTTAGACAGAGACGTGGTCATAAAACAGGCATGGGTCAGACAGTGGCAAGCAGGTACATTACAGGCAAGACAAAATAGTATCCAAAGGAGGTTGTGAGTCATTCGACGGTGAACACAATCCTGAGGGCGAGGCAAACGGGGAATCCACAAGACGAGCTAGAGTCCAGGTGAGGTGCAAACACAGTCCGAAACAGAAAGGCAAAGGGTAATTCCGAAACAAGCTATAAATTCCAAGGCAGGCGGAGATCAGGCGAGACGAGATAACAGGCAAGGGTCAAGACACGGGTAAACCGACTTAAGAGCTAGGCTAGACTAGGCTAGGCTAGGCTAGGCTAGGCTAGACTAGACATGGCTCCGTAAAGTAGCTATCGCTATACATAGATAGATGCTAAACAATACTCGGCGTTGAATGGTGGTGTGAGACTGATTTATATAGTGTGTGTTATTGGTAGCAGCTGTGTGTGATTGGTTTCAGGTGAGCTTGTGATTAGTGCAATGGAGCATGGGAAATGTAGTCCAGGGTGATGTGTAACAGTCTGTGTGATGTGAGAGTCACTATAATGGGAGGGCGACCTCTGGTGGCAAGCAGACGGAAGTTCATGGACAGGATTCGTGACAGGTAGTATCATCAAATCATTAAAAACTTTACCAAACAATGAACTGAATTTATGACTGCAGGAAACATTTAAAGAGGTTGTGGAGGGGACAGAAAACGTTTCTTCCAGAGAAGTTCCATAAACCAAGCGCCGCCGTTAGCGTGGTAATTAAAGATTTTTTGTAAAGGGTTTCCTCTACGACTGAGGACAACCATTATAAAAGCATTTAAGAAAAGTTGTTGATCAAAATGCCAAATGCTTTTCTTTCTCAGGCTGCTATAACAAGATATTCAGGCTGGCAGATTGCCTTCACTATGTGGGGTATGTAAATTTCTCTAAAAAGTTTGATTGATTGTCTCATGACCTCATATGCGAGACGAGCTGAGTTTACCTTCTATTCAGAGAGGTCAATACCTTCACGGTCCTCTGTCCTTGGCATGCTTTGCTTACTTTTGTAGTGTCGTAGCCAGAGTGACTCAAATATATGAAAATATTTGATGATAAAGTGACATCAGATGTTTGTTGTATTGATTAAACTGATTTTTTTGTTTCTGCAGGGTTTCTGATAGTTCACTTTGTGCAGTTTCTTTTTGCCTTGCTGTTTGTGTATGGAGTCGTTCTACCAATCCAGAAGGGACACTTTCTCAGCTGGCTTTCTAGTGTAGGCATCATTCTGTGAGTTCCATTAAAGACATCTCATAACCAGTCATTTTTCATAAGCATAATCATCAGGCCATATTTTTGAACTTGCATGACTACATATTTTATAGCTAACATAATGTTAATTTATTAGGATAAGCAGCATTTGAAGAGCATTAAACTGTGTTTTATGTGATTGCAGGCTGACAATACTCTTAGTGATAGCCTTGGTGGTAGTGCAGATTATTCTGGTCCAAGTGTTTTTCCTGCAGGACAAACTCTCACCTGATGACAAAGAAAAGCCCCTTGCACTCAACAACAGGTAGGACAACTACAAAGCACCTTTTTAAATGAAAATCAAACAGATGAAGCTGTAAATATGCATTGCCCTTAAACAGCAATGATGAGGTGTTGCTATGTGGTTGATAAGTTGTTGTGAGTGATCAAACATAATATGCTACTGTTGTAAATTTTGGGTAGGTCAGATTTCTTAATGTTTTGAAAGAGGTCTCTTGTAATGTTACCATGGGTTGCAAATATTCAATATATAATACAGTAAAAACAGTAATAATGTGAAATTTCATTTAAATTTAAAATAACATTTTAAGACATACTTTTTTCCCCCCTAATGGCAAAGCTGAATTTTCAGCATTGTTCCAGATGAAAACAGCTGTGCTACTTAATATTTTTTGTGGAAACTGTATTTTTGTGTGTTTTTTTCCCCCAGGATATTGTTGCCTAGAAGTAACAGCATTTATTTGAAATAGACATTTTTGTAATGTTATAAATGTCTTTACTGTTATTTTAATGTGCCCTTGCTGAATACAAGTATTGCTTTCTTTCCAAAAAATAACATAAAATAAATTTTACCCTTTAGTGTATATAAAAACTATTTTTATTTATTACTTTTTTTAATAACCCAAGTTTTTCTTCTCCTTCCACAGGAAAGCATTCCACTGCTTTAACTACTTTTTCTTCTTCTATAATGTGGTTATGGGGTTGAGCAACAGCATTTTGCGCCTTTTAAGCAGCTGCATTGTGGGTACATGGCTGGTGTCACGCATTGACCGGACCATCATGCAGCGGGGCTACGAGTCCATGGATCCAGGTAATAATGACATATGCAGTGCTGTTCAGTGAAAAAAAATCATTTTATTCACAAAGTAGATCAGAGGAACATGATTAGAATTAGATCAGAATAGAATACAATTAGAATTTTATTTATTATTATATTTGAGTATTTTAGTTAATTAATTATATTTTATTTATTAAATATATTTGGATGATTAAATATTTTTGCCTTTACAAGACTTAATATTAGAATTAATTCTAATATTTTTGTACAACGGTTATAATTAACTTTCTTTTGGGCAGGATATAGTACATGGATTGGGATGATATTTGCTGATCATTATCATAGCAACCCAGTTATGGTGTCTTTCTGCCATCTACTGCTTGGCAGAACATTGGAGAAACGAGGACCTGCAGTGTCCTCCTATGCAACTTTTAGCAATAACACAAGTAAGAATGACTCCAGATACATGACAGCACAAATTCCTTTAAACAGATATCCCATGAAATGACTGTGCCTGTCTGCTGTTTGACAGGGTGTTCAGTAGGGGGCAGAGTACGTGTGCGCTGGCTCCTGCTGTACACACTGCTGAGGAACCCTGCACTCATCCTGCTGAGAAAGAGAAAAAAAACGAACCAGAACGACAACCAAGACCCACTCCTCTTAGCCCGAGCCATCCCCTCACAGGCTCAACAAGCAGCTGAACTGGTCAACAACAAAACTCCAGAAACAGAACCAACACAGTCAGACATCTGAAACCGGTTCCTCAGTGTGCACACAGACTCCATGATTCAAAATTGGAGTTTTGTGTCTGTGACTATTGCACTACTGATGAAATTAACTTTAAGGGGATATAGACTTTGAAAAGTTTTGTCTTTCCTTTTTGATACAAAGGGCAAGAATGAGAATCTACCGTCCTATAATACATAACTGCACTCATCAAAGCCATTACATGGGGTCTCGAAGACTGGATTTTATCAGAGAACTGGACTGAGAAAATTATACATTCGAGGTCTAATGCTTTTTGTGAGCTTCTGAAACAAATTAGAATGATTACGTGTTTGTTGGTTAAATTGTATTTTGTAATAAAGAATGTAAAAGCTTAGTTTGGGTGAATTAATTTTATGGCTTTCATTCGTTCATATTTATTAATAAATATTCATATTTATTAATATTAATAAATAGAATAATTTATTAATATTTTAATTAGAATGAATATTAAAATTATAAAAATATAGTTATATAGTATAGTTAAATATAGTTTATTTAATCATATTTATTACTATTTATTATAAACTACAAAAGTCAATAAAGAAATATTACTACTACTACTACTAGTTTATTATTTAATATATTCAATTTGTTATTATTATTATAATAATTCATATTAAAATACATAAATCAATGTATTGTTATTAATAGTAAGAAGTATATTACTATTGCTATAATACTATCGAGTAAACGATTGATATATAATAATAATAATAATACTACTATACAGTATATGTAAAATAATATATAACTGTAAATTTGATATTTATGGCTGTCTAAATTTCTTTGCTTTCAAGTGCTAAACCTCAGAGCTTTTACTTTGGCAGAAAACCAAAGGAAGCTGCTCTAAAACACCAGCCACCTATCAAATAACACGGTTTTAATATACTCACATTTGCTGACTGTTAAGTTTGTACCCTGCTTGTAGTGCAGTCAACGTCATTTTCAAAAGAGGATGAAAACGTGCTGCTGTGGAACGGAGCCCATCTCTAGACAGCAACATGTCTTACCAGCGAAGGCTTTGGAGATGTTCTCTTTCTTCCACTCCCAGGGCTGGTCGTACTCATCCGCCGGCCTCTCGTCGTCCTGGGGCAGACGGCTCTCTCTCTCGTCCTCCGCTGGGGCCGCCTGGGGCCGAACTCTCTCCTCGTAAGGGCTGTCGTAGAGCTGCGGGCTGTTTCTACCCCGATCTGTGCTGTGCTGGAGCTCTGACATACGACAAACACGTTCAATTGCACCAGACAACACGAAATTACATTATGTATGAGTATTATGAAAGTGAATAAGGACTGGAGTTGTCAAGCTCTGAAAAACATGTAAACGTTACCGCAGACCACAAATTACAACATACTGGAATAACAATGGCTGAATGAATGCTCTCTTTGGAATTATAAGAGATATAGTGGGGAAATGCTGTACCGCTTATGAATCTCTGGGCCTCAAACGGCTCCATGTAACTGCTGCAGGCTTCGACGGCGTTCTGCTCCCAGCCGGGTCTGGGCCGCGGGTCCGGTCTGGCATCAAACGGGTCCGAGTAATCAGTCTCCCCAACTGCAGGAGCCGAGGGAACCACCTGGTGAAAAGAATAAAGAACAAGTGTTGAGTGATCATGATGATCATATGAATCCGAAACGAAGATAACTGCAGAGTTTTACACAGTACACGATTCTGCTAGCTCATGTAAACACACATGAAGCATTTTCATCCACTACGGTTATTATGGTTTATGTAAAAAAAAAAAAAAAAAAAAAGTGGTACTACCATAGTGTTTTTTTTTTAACCAAAGTTTTCTAAGTCCATGAATATTGTGTTGCTATGATTAGAATTAACTTTTTTGAAATAAATAGATAAATATGTTGATCTGATATGCAACGTCTTTGTATATATAAAAAAAAATTAAAAAAAAAAATGCTCTCCAAAAAAAAAAGATTCTTACATCCCTTCCCAAAATACTGTAATAAACAAAATAGCATAATATTGAATGTTTATCATAATAACATTGTATTAGTAGGCCTAATTTGAACATGGTAGCCTACTTGTTCGTTTTTTGGTAGTTTTTGTTATTAATGGGTAAGAGGTGACTGCAGCATGTCTCCTGATTCCTTAGTGAATAGTTTTTAAATTTAGTTATCACCCTGAATTCTCATAGCATGAGTTTTATTTATCACTTTTTGCCTTCAGCACCTTAACAGAGGAACATTTTCAAATCCATTTTAATAGGTGTTCGCAATATGAAATGCTGAAGAACAATTTTCGATTCTATCCTAAAGTATGGCGGAATGGCCCTTTATTTAAACCTATTCAAGGACTTTGGAATTCATTTATTTATTTACTAAGTATATACCATAGAATAGTAAGCTAAATCACGTACATGTTTTCATCTTAGTTCATTTTTATTTGATCTTATTTCTGTCTGACATTTGACCTCAGTCCTTTTTCCGATGACGTATGACGTAGTTGGAGTGATAGGGAATGCACGTGCGTGTGCGCGCGCTATTACGGCTAAATTAGTGTGACAAAAAGACAAAAAAGGCAATCAGGTGAGTTTTGTTATCAAGACTTCGATTAATAATGTATTGGAGATATTTTTATGATTTAGGAATGAGAAATGTCTTTACAAGCAAAAAGAACTAGAATAATGAAGTTAAATCAGTTATGTCGTTTGTTTAGCTAACGTTAGTTAATTAACGTTACTGTCTGATGAAATTTAGCCTTCCAGTCTTCCCGCCTGTCTTCTTTCTGATATTTGAGTTATTAAACGCTCATGTTTTCCATAAGTGTATGGTTATTTTGACCGATACCAACATTAGTCCAGCTTTACAATGTAAAATATTGTGGGCTGCATTTTTGAGACAATGTAGGATTGAGAAAAGTGAAGGATAACACGGTTAGCAAGCGTGAACTGAGAAACAAGTTTGTCTAAAATGAGAAATCTTTCAAATAGTATACGTGATGACTTGTTTTTATGTAATATGTGACCCTGGACAACAAAATCAGTCATAAGGGTCAATTTTGAAGGGACATAATCTGAAAGTTGAATAAATCAATAAATAAATCTGAGGGTGCAAAACAATTTTTTGTTGTTGAGAAAATCGCCTTTAAAGTTGCCCAAATGAAGTTCTTCTTAGCAATACATATTCATTATCAAAAAATATTTTTTGATATATTTACGGTAGGAAATTTACAAAATATCTTCATGGAACTTAATTTCTAATGATTTATGGCATAAAAGAAAAAAAAAAAGATAGTTTTTACTCATGACCCTGTATTGTTGGCTATTGCTAAAAATACACCCGTGCTTCTTATGACCGGTTTTGTGGTGCAGGGTCACATATGTGTATTTATGCTATTTTCATACATTAAAAAAAGGAGAAAACGTGAAAACACACCATTGTTATTGTGTGAAAACACACAATAACAACAAATTGATTTAATATGTACAATCATTATTTAAGGTTAATGAGGAAAAAATGGCTATTTTTAATATCAGGAAGTTTTACTATGGTTACTATATTTGATCTGACCATAATGTGATATTTCAGTTATGAAATGTGATGTGATGGTATTGGGATTAACTCTTTTGACTTTGTTGTGTACATTATGGGCATTTTGTTTTTATATAGCTAAGCTCTAAACATTAAGTAATTACCATTACTTACCATTCATAATTAACTATAAACCTTCAAAGCATTTTTGGGTGGCTGAATGTGTCTGTGATGCCCAAAATGCTGTATAGTTTGACAGCTCAGTAAGTTACAAAAATGCTGTCTGTTCTGTGTTGGATGCGGTTATGTGTCTTCATTAGATTGACTTTGTGTTTGAGTGCAGGATGAGTGACGTGGAGTTGGTGAAGAAGATGCTGCGAGCTGTTCTTCAGAGCAGTAAGCACGGTGTGGCTATGGCCCGTCTGCAGGGAGATTACCGGGCTCTGACAGGAGAGGTGATCCCTTACCGTCAGTTTGGACACGGCAGTCTAGAGAGTTTTCTGCGCAGCATTCCCGGTGTTGTGCGGCTCGAACGCTCCAGTGCTGGAGAGGTGATGCTTTCAGTTAATCTGGTGATACACACATACCTTTATGTGTTTTGGTAGATAATATAATATAGTATTCTATGTATTTATAGCATAATATGTATACATGCACACTACTGGTCAGAAGTTTGGATTTATTTGATTAAAAATACAGCAAAAACTGTAATATTGTGAAATAGGCCTATTGCAGGTTAAAATAACTGTGTTCTGCTGTAATATATTTAAAATGGAATTTATTCCTGAGATGGTAAAGCTGAATTTTCATCAGTTATTACTCCAGTCTTCCGTGTCACATGATCCTTCAGGAATCATTCTAATATGCTGATTTGCTGCTGAAGAATCATTTCTTATTATTGTTAATGTTGAAAATTGTTTTTGCCGCTTAATATTTTTGTAGTAACACTACTATTCAAATCTTTAGGGTTACTTTTTAAAAAAAAATTCTGTAATACTTGTTGATTATTGTTGTTGTTTTTGTTTTTTTAACTTTCTATTCATTAAAGAATCCTGAAAAAAAAGTGTATTGTGGTTTCCACAAAAATATTAAGCAGCAAAAACTGATTGATAATTGATAAAATTGATAATAAGAACCATTAATAATAAGAGTAATTTTTTTCTTATATTATAGTAATAATTTATAGTAATTGAACACTAAATCAGTACATTAGAATGATTTCTGAAGGATCATGCGACACTGATGTAATGGCTGATGAAAAAAAATAGAAATTAGGGCTGTGCAAATAATCGAATGCTTTGATCATTAGTAGTAAATCTCCATCACCTGCTTTCAGACGGGGCAGCATTTACTACACAGAGCCGTTGTTCACTGACAAGCTATGCAATATTGCGTTCATAATCGCAGGCGATACATCATCTGTGATCTATGGCTCTGTGTAGTAAATGCTGTCCCGTCTGAAAGCAGGTGATGGAGATTTACTACTCATCACAGAACCGGCTTTACTGACGAGATGCGCATGATCATCACATTCGATTATTTGCACAGCCCTAATAGAAAACAGTTATTTTTAAGTTATATTTCACAGTATTACTGTTTTTAGTGTATTTTTTATGATGGACTTTAATTTTATTTGTATCTTTGTAGGTCATGTGTTTTGCTGGTGTGTGTGAGGAGACGGCACACATCGCACAGCTGGTCGCCCGGCAGAAGAATGTAAAGAAGTCTGGCTGCTCTAAATTACTGAACTTTCAAATGAGAGCGAAGTCTTCATCTCTGTTTTCACATAACGGTAACATGCACAAACAAAAATCCAGAGTGAAAGAGATACAGTTTGACTGATATCACATCATTTTCATGGTTAGTTTAGGAGAAAAGCATCTGCTAAATGAATAGGCCTAAATGTAAATGTAACTTATATTATTCTGCAATTAGTAAATTAACAGTGTACATTTTAAAATGAACTTGAGTTTAAATTGTGTGAGGTGCAAACCTGTTTTTAGATATTCTTGGTAGTGACAAAAAATTACAATGGTTTTCTTTAGTTGTCTTTTTGAAGTATTTTTTAACACGCATCACCATTAATGACCACATTAATCTACATGCCTCCATAGTGGATTAACTCTTTGACATCCTAGTTTGTTTGCCCACATCCCAATAGGGTCCTTATGAAAGGTTTTATTGCTGTACGTTTGCCCACCAAGCTTGTCTGTATATGTGTGCTGAGTATATCTGTGCCAGTCAGTCACAATTACACGCTATTGCTACGAACTGTTTAGCATCCTGCACTCTGTTATGCAGCCCTTCGAGGTATGTGCTTGTTTATTGATATGGTTTAACTGTTTTGGTCTTCGCAGTCAAACCTCGCTTGTCTCTGCGGCAACCGGGCCACATGACTCATCCCGCTCGAAGCTCTGCATCCAAGTCTAGTTTTTACCCTAACCAGCGGCAGATTTACAGTACTGACCTCCCCTCCTCCCGGGTTCCTACTCGGCAACTGAACAGGAAGTCACCAGGGTGAGTGACGTGGGACAAAACATTCTCAATACATTCATCCCAACACTTACACTGTGTGTGATTTTAGGTTAGAGGGGAAAAAATTTGCAACCAGCAAAGTCAATACGGGGATAAAGACCAGTGGGATACCAGGTAAATCTCTTTTTTGCCCTTTTAAAAATCTTTGTTTTTCTTGTCCTTCAGCTTGTCCTCATGACAATTACAAAATTGGATCAGATACAATATATTATTTAAACAGAATCCTGAAACATAAACTTATTACTAAACCTAATGCTTAAACCTAGGCTTCTTTTTCTGCCTTGCTAGTGATGAAAAGGTAATGAGTCCTAAAAGCTGGAAAGTCATGCATCTGTGGTTTAGTTTGCATATACCTAACTTCTGGCGATTATCCACCTGTTTCCGGGGGGTGCTACTGTAAAAAAGAACGTGGGTACAACTTCCGGTGAGGCAGCGGAAGTAGTATACCAATGGTATTTTGTGTGCTAATTAGCGAAGAGGCTAAGTGTTTTTCTGGTCTTTTGCACTGTCGGGCCAGTGCGAGCCAGTGCTTTCAGTAGGCCGGGCGGGGCTAATAGCCTCAGACCGGTAGCACCGAGCCCAAAATTACGCTGCGTTTCCACCGTCAGGCCAGAAGCTCCGCTACGCTTCACTAAAACCCGCCTTTACACGCCTCTCTGGAACAACGACACGCAACCCC